CCTGTATAAATTTTTAAAAAATCTTAAAATATGTAAAACAACAAAATAAAATACACGTGTTTAAGAGTTTTTCCGAAAAACTTACCGGTTTTTAAATAAAAAATATTTTAATATTTGAGCTGTGGTTTCACCCCCTTAGAATTTGAGTTTCGAAAAATCCCTTCTTATCGAACCTCTACACCCTAAAGTCAATCCGTTTTCCAAAAATCAGCTTTTTATGTCAAGCGCTTTAAGCAGGACCGTGATTAATCAATGACTAGATTTTTCGAAACACCCTGTATAAATTTTAAAAAATCTTGAAATATGTAAAAAAACAAAATAAAAAAATACGTGTTTAAGCGTTTTTTCGGAAACTTGACAGTTTTTTAAATAAAAAATATTGTAATATTTGAGGGGCGGTTTCGCCCCCTGGGAACTGGAATTTCGAAGAATCCCTTCTTATCGCACTTCACCTCTACACCCTAGAATCAACCTGTATGCCAAAATTGAGCTTCTTACGTTGAGTGGTTTGAGCAGGATCGTGATTCACAGTTAGCCTGGGCCAAGATGTCAAGAAAAAAATATATAAACTTTGAGTACTTTATTTTTTAAATGCCGATACCACTGGCTTCAAAAAAATATAAAAATTAAAATCGCCGACGTACAAATTGGGGTCTCTACACAAATTTAAAAAAAAAATCAACCAAAGTAAAAAGCGCGCAAAAAGTTTTGTTAATAATAAATAACGACCATCATCACCAAAAGGTATGCTTAATGTTGCCCCCCTCCTTGTTTCTAAATCCAGGAGGTTGGGTCTCTGAACAAATTTAAATAAAAATAGAGTTTAATATAATGGAAAAAGCAAAAAAATATTTTTTTTCTAATATTTTAGCGATAAAATTTTGATCATAAATATTATTAAACAAGTAAAACTACAAACTAACAATTAAGGAAGTACAATTAATAACTTTAACACACTTAGCTATAAGTAAATAAATAAATTTTAAACATGGTTACTGTTGTAGGAAGCAACACTCCTAAGGAGATTTTTTTGACCAATTTGCCTGCCTGGCCAGGTGGAAATACCATTTGTATAAAAAACATGAACTTACTGATGATTTCCATTTAAAACTGGGCATAGATAGTGGAGGTGGATCTTTAAAAATTTGTCTGTCTTTATGTTGTTACGAAAAACCCGAAATAAAACAAGAAACACATAAAAGTACCAAAATAATAGAAACCTACAAAAATATCAGAGCAATATTTGAGATGCAACTCAATACTATTTGTGGAGTCAGTTCTTACACATTTGCCGCAGATCTAAAGTTGATAATGATTATATTGGGCCTTCAATCTTCATCATCATGCCATCCATGTGCCTGGTGTGATGTTAACTCAAAAAATTTACAGTCAAGGGGAGAACTAAGATCCATAAAAGATATTTCCAAATGGAGTACATTATGGAACGAGGAGACAGGTGGAAATTTAAAAGAAACAAAAAAGTACAGTAAGTGTACTGCTATGCTTACCTTATTGACTTTTTTAATAGTTATTTTTTGCAAATTTTAATTAAAATTTTTAGAGAATTGTGTCAACATTCCTTTAATAACTGGTGATGACGATCTTCCAATTATCAACTATATATTTATTTAGATGGGAGTTGTACAGAAAATATACGATTCTCTAAAAAAGGACTTTCCGGAAATTGCTGAAACCTGGCTAAGAATTTCTGGGCTACAATTAGACCATTACAGCAGATTTAATGGAAATAATGCCAGAAACTTGCTTAAAAAAGTTGACGTCCTTAAAGCACAAATCCTGGTACTTACTTTGTAACAAAACTTTATTTTATTATTGTTATTTGGACACTAAGCCCTTTGCTTATTTTTTTGAGACAACAAATACATAGAGGTATTTTGTGCCTTCAATGATGTGGTAGCCAGCTGTTTTGGAAAATATATTGATACCAATTACGAAGCCTATATACTGAAATTTTCCGACAAAATAAGAGATACGAAAATCAGTTTTACTCCAAAAATTCAAGCTGTTGTTCACCATATAGTGTATTTTGTTAGTATTTCACAGAAAGCATTGGGCTTTTACTCTGAGCAAGCCTCAGAGCAGGTGCATTATTCCTTTAAGTTGTTCTCAAAAAACTTTAATTCAAATCCGGCATTAAAAAACTATCAAAAAAATTTCCTTAGGAGTGTTGCTTCCTACAACAGTAACCATGTTTAAAATTTATTTATTTACTTATAGCTAGTACCTAATTGGTTTCTTCATTTTTAGTCTAAATTCAGTGTGTGTTAAAGTTATTAATTGTACTTCCTTAATTATTAGTTTTTATTTTTTCTTGTTTACTAATACTTATGATCATAAAGTAAAATTTTATTGCTAAAATATTAGAAAAAATGCAGGATCGTGATTAATCAATGACCAGATTTTTCGAAACACCCTGTATAAATTTTTGCTTTTTTGAATTATATTAAAAGTCTATTTTTATTTAAATTGTTCAGAGTTTTTTCGAAACTTGACAGTTTTTAAAAACAGGGAGGGGTTATTATTTGAGGGTTATTTACGTTATTGGGAACTGGATTTCGAAGATTCCCTTCTTATCCACTGGTACCTCTACACCCTAGAATCAACCTGTATGCCAAAATAGATTTTTTTACGTTGACATGTTTGAGCAGGATCTGTGATTAATCAGTATGTCAGTCACTTAAGGATTTTATATATTAGTATAGATTATTAAAATTTCACAGATCATTTAAAATTTTACTTTGAATTGGTCAATAAATGACAATTTAATAATGTTGAAACGATTGAGATAATACTATTTTCTCAAAATTGTATTATCTAGAATGACATTCGATGTTGTAAATATCAAAAATACATAAGTAAACATTTGAAAAGTCAAGGTTTCTTTTTTGTGGGTTCGGAAAGGAATCGTACAAACTAAAACAACCTTTTGGAGATCCTTTTTTATGGGAAAGATCGCCGCAGATAGTCGATTTCTCAACAATTTACGACAACAAAAAACCTTTTTCGTACCCCTAACAAATATTCATTCGTTTTTTCTGCCACAATCGAAACAACTTGGGAAATTCAGTCTGGGAAAGAGCCTATTTTCATTACTTTTTTCCCATTCTCTTCATTTCGCAACAATAAGAAAACTTTTATAAAGGTAAAATGTGAATTTAGCTAAACGAGATAGTATCGGAATAAAGAACACCAAACGCAAAACCCTATTTTATATCATTCTTTATTGAAGGCTTGATGGTTTACGCGTGACATCAATATACAGTTCCTATCAAATAAACTTGTAGTCACGTGATTAAGCTTGACCGGCACAGCGTTGCCCACTTTTACATATTTTCTTTTAATCAAAATATTTTAGGAAACAAAAATCAATGAATTATAAATATACAGGGTGTCCCAGAAATAAGTGCAAATATTTTAACTGGTAGTATAGTTCAACCCCAGACACACGCCTATGAGGTTTTTCTCGCGAAAAAAAATTGAAAATTCGAAATCTTTTGAAAAATTTTTGGAATTTCTTTTAGTTTTTATTTACAAAACATAATTTCTTGATCATATGGCAACATTGGTAGTAGATTAAATTTACCAGAAAGAAAATCCAGAAAAGATCCAGTCAACTCAAAATTTTAGCAAAAAATATTTTTTTTTGGAAATTTTCACTTATAATATCACAAGAGCTTAAATTATTTTCGGAAATTTTTTTGAGGGCACGAATATTTTGAAAATTATCCCGAGTCGAAGACGAGGGATAATTTTCCTAAAATATTCGTGCCCGAAAGAAAATTTCCAGGAACCCTTATAAGCTTGGGTGGTATTCGGTAAGAAAATTTCACACCTAAATTTGAAAAAAAATATTAATCCAACATGACATTTTAAAAATAATTTCAAATTTGTTAATAATATTAACAAATATTATTATATTTTTAATTAGTTACATCAAATGCTAAAACTCAAATGGGTAATATTTCAATATATAGACATTGTAGTTCATTCACATTATGATTGTAGATCTTATGTTTACCTTTTCAACTGTCAAAAAATTTCCACTAAAGTTTCGTGGCGCCTCGAAAAAATTTCCGGAAATTTTTTCAGTTGCCATGGTAACTAGTCAACATTAAAGCATGTTATTGGTTGAAAAGTAGAGGTGTGAAATTTTCAAAGTAAAATAACTCCGTTATTTTGGACTTAAATACTGGATTTAAAAAACGATAAAGATAAAATATGTTTCTTTTATCGAGATCTACCACCCCTTAAAATATTTGCACTTATTTCTGGGACACCCTGTATAAACAGTTATTATTTACATCAACAAAACACACCTTCTAAAGAGCACTTAAGGGACATAAAGGGCCATTACTACCGCTTTCCCGTTCAAAATATTCTAATAAGGCATGCCAAGCAACTAGATTTTTTTACAGCAGAGCTACTACCTGAATCCCCAGTGGGAAATTTAAACTCCAGTTAGTCAGCCCGGCGCCGAATATGTCCATGATTGGGAACAATAAAATTAAAAATTGCTTCTTCCATTACGTAACTAAAAGTTTAATTGGTATCGAACATACATAATCATAAAATATACGAAATATTAGCAAATTATATTGTACTAAGTTGTGCAGTAAAAGTAAGTTACTAGTTTTTCCAAGTAGGTAATTTTATTGCTGTAACAGAATTCATGCTAACTTTGACAACAGTAGTTATCAATGTTACATTGCAAGAAAACACAATAATGCGATATTGTTTTTAATCTAATCAGTTAGTTACTATTCAATGGCTACCACTTATTGCACTTCGAAGAATATTTTCCCATTTATAGCCAAGATACGGTTTAATATGAATTTCAAAATAATAAATATTAAATCTGGCAACTGGTTATATTAAACATTATAGAAAACTAAAACTCATAATAAAGTTACCTAAAACCATTCAGATCTTTCATAAATTCATATTTACTTATAAAAGAAATAAAGTTCTAGAATACTTACGATATATCCTTTGCCTGAGCTGCATCTACTGCTCGCCTGTAAAATAAAAGAAAAAATATAAAAATCAACATCACTTAAACTTTCAAGTTATTTACTTAGTTCTTAAAACGAAATGTTTGTTAAAAATGTAGCTCCGTTCTCTTTCGACATGAAAAACTTTGGAAGTTTTTCTTCCGAAACTTTCGTGTGCTGTAATGCAGAAAAATGAATACGCTCTGAACGCTGTTCATTTTGGATTCTATGGTATAAAAAAATTGTGTGTGCGCATATTTGAAGAGAAACTTCTTATAACAGCTATTAAATGAAGTATTTGAAGGACACGTTTGAAAAAGTATAGTTTGAGATTTTCTTTCACAAAATTTGTATTAAAATGGCCGTCTGTCCGTCTGAGGACTCCATTCAAGTACGTCTATCAACGTGCCGAGTTTGGTTCCAATCGACCCATAATTAAGAAAAATCCTGATGATTTCGTCCATTTAGAGGCATCAGTTCGAAACGTCGAGGGCGTCATCCTGTAGCCCGTCCCCAATTATGCCGAAATCGACCCACATTTTGCTTCAATATCAAATCCTTTGTCCCACGAAAGTCAGTTAGTTTAGTAAACGAAACGTCGCGTCGTATCCAACATTGCAGGGTGGGACCGTGTGCACCGTCGCTCACATAGCCTACCCACAAAATTTGGTCGCGATCGGAAAACATTAACTTTTGACGTTTCTTACGTTAAAACTAACTGTCACAGTGTCGTACATGGTTAAGTTGGCTTTGGTCCAATCTATCGACATACCAAATTTCATTTAAAAAGGGCGATATTTTCGCCATTGATGATGGTGTTTCTTGGAATAAAAAATGAAGCTTAGGTAATTACCTATAAAGGCGGGCGGCCACTGCGAGCTATACGAAACTAAGCCAAGCGAAGATAAGATTCGTAAAAATCAGCTCCCATACTTTTAAATGCAACAGCGGCCACTTGAGCGAAACTAAACGAAAATATATGAACGAAGATTTAAATCGTAGTTTAGTTTCGCTCGTTTTAGTTCGTGAGAGGTTCTAGCGAATTTTTCGCAGCGATAATTCTCTGATAGCAGAGACACAATACGAAAACGTAGCTGCAGCGAAAAATTCGCTGGAACCTGTCACGAACTAAAACGAGCGAAACTAAACTACGATTCGAATCTCCGTTCATATATTTTCGTTTAGTTTCGCTCAAGTGGCCGCTGATGCATTTAAAAATATGGGAGCTGATTTTTACAAATCTTATCTTCGCTTGGCTTAGTTTAGTTTCGCTTTTGTCCCGAACTAAAACGAGCGAAACTAAACTACGATTCGAATCTTCGTTCGTATATTTTCATTTAGTCTCGCTCGCAGTGGCCGCCTGCCTTAACGCTCCGAAGATGGATTTCGTAAGCGTATTTTTTTGAAGATTCAAAGTTCGTTTAAAAGGTAGAATCGCCAGCTATCATATTTTGGTATTTTTTTGAATTTTGCCATATTTTATGATAATAAAAAAGCCAAGCAAACATTCCTTGGCCCACAAATTTTCAGATTTTTACTAATATTTTCACTAATAATAGCTTATTTATCAAGATTTTTTTAACAGTTGTTCTTAGAGTCTCTTTAAGCAACTCAGAAAGTTTGAAGTACTTGTTTAATCACATTTTAATAAAAAACAACTATTCGTGAGTTGCCTTTTCACTTTTTTTGAAATTTCCGGAAAGTATCGTAAACAAAAGAAAATTGCATAATAACTTTATAAGTAACAAACATCAATGAGGAGTTGGAAATCAATGATAAAAGTTCAAAATTAACTGCAATATCTTGCAACTCTTTCAGAGTATATTATTCGTGTCCATTTTCCCGAAGATAATGGACTACCTTCACCATTTGGTCTAAAATATCAGCATCCAAGAAATGTCCTACGCCCCTTGATGATCTATAGGGGCTGTGGAACATGACTTACAAAATTGTGTATGACAATGTTTATGATATATGGCACCCGCACAAAAAAAAATCTTAACAAATAAGCTATTATAATCAATATCAAACCTATGATACGCTTATATAGCCTAATCTAAACTAACACAAGCTTCATTTTTTACTTTAAGAAAATTTTTGCAAATTGCATATTTTAGCAGATATTTACAAAAAACTGATTTTTCGGCCATTTGGGCCATTCGGCCACAACCTAACTTAACCTAACTCCCCAAAAGGTACACAATCCGCCTGAAAAGTCCCGGTCGACGAATTAAGCCGTGGTTTCAACCTTCATTTACTGGACTAATAATCAGAAATTAATATTTGCTCTCTAATTATTTGTTGTAATTCTTGACGGATCAAAAATTACTAAATATTCTGATAAAATACCATTTCGAACTAAACGAAGAGCACCTTTTTTACATAAAAAAAAGTCCTGATTAACTCTCATTTGTTGAAATTACTGTATATCTACTCTAATCGAAAGTGCCCTTTCAGGGCTGTTATGGAATTTTACACTATCGCCATTCGCTTTGGTATTAAAATGTGCGTAAGAGTACCAAATTTCAAGAAAAACAGTTTACCAATGTTCTTAAAAATAAACAAAATATACTACTTTTATTTACCCTTTCGGGGACTGTAACTTCTTCAGGAAGTATTTGGGGCATATGTTCATAGGAACTCTTTGATTTATTTTTATTTGTAGAATCACCCACCGAAGTTCGATACACTATTTATTTAACACCCTGTATATGAACCAACGACAAAATCCATAATTTAAAAATATACAAGTTGCAAAGTCCTAACTTCCATCCCTTTCCCTTCGCCGATGTAATATTAATCCGAAAAATTGAACTTCAAACAATGAACGTTATCTCCCTGGACGTGCTCCGGGACGAGGGAGAGGAAGAAATCTAATAAAAAGTTGGAACGGCGGGCAACAAAATCGTGAAAAGTTTTCCGGCCGGAGCCAGTATCAATATTTTAAAAGTTCGGAAGAAGCGCCGCCGAGTTCGGCACGAAAACTAAATTTAAGACTGGCTTTAATGGCAATTTTAATTTGAGTTGGAGAGTAGCCGGCAGTCGGGAGCCTTGCCGAGTTAATAAATCATCGAAACCGAGTTCGAACTGTCTTTTAGTCGATTTAAAAGTACGAGATTTTTAAGATTACTTTGCAGAAACATTTTACTTATTCCGGTCTCGAGATACTGGTACTAATTTACAACGTAAGCTTTATTTTCCGGTATTTTATCAGAATATTTAGTTTGATTTATTTTAAAAAACGGTGAACGGTTTTCAAGATATTTGCGTTTGAAGGTTTCGATGCATCGATTTTAGTAGAAGCGAAATCAGGAGATTAATTTATTTAAAACTTCTTTACACTTTATGCTTTCACTAACACTAAAATCGATCATCGTAACCTTTAAACGCAAATATCTTAAAAACCGTTCACCGTTTTTAGTTGTCATTGGGGATTTTTGCTTGGAAAAAAGTCCCGAAGTTTTGAAACTTTACAGGTTTATAGGTTTTGGGTCCCTAACTAAAATCCATAAAATGCACATTTCCAGACTTGCCGCCGGCGCCAAATTGGTATTTTGTAAATATCTCGGAAACTAGGCGTTTTTCGCAAAAAATTAAGGAGAGCAAAATTGAAGAGAATAAAATTTCCTATAAAAAAGGTTCTATGAAAATTTTTGCTAAAGTCAACCGTTTGCGCACAAAATCCCCGGAAATTTAACAATTTTGCGTAAAATATGATATACCTATATGTACAGTCGATTTTCCGAAATCAAATGTCGATTAGGGTTCACTAAAACTTGTTTTAGTTTAGTTTCTTGAATTTTGTCATGAAACAGTGGCGCATCATTAATTCGCTCATTAATTTATGAATAATTAATTTTAATTATTGAAAATGTGTACTTGTTTTCACACCACCCAAGAGGTAAAGTACATGGCGCGTTTATTTTAACGTGGTCTCCCCAGAGGCCTACTCCACCAGATAAATTAAAAACTTTAACTTATCTGCACAAGCCCGACGGACCTGGCTCATTGATGTCAAAGTCGATCGTGTCTGCTGTGCTGAGCTCATCAGGGTGGTCCCTCAATTCGTCCAACTCTTCATCTTCAGCCGCCAGAGGGATATCTACAGGCAAATCCAACTCCTCTTCATCGGATTCATCGAGTGACACTTCAGTGACGTCACAGGATTTCCCATTGTCTTTTCCCATACACAAATCATTGAACATTTTAGTCCTGCTTTTCTGCATCCGCAGGCTTTACCACAGTTGTTGGTTTTGCATTTACAGGATAAAAATGCCAATAAGGATTTTGGAGCTGGATCTGTCAACTTTGTGACTGGAAAATGCCTGTTTTTGTTTTCTTCCAACCCCATTCTTCGGCATCTCTGGTATAACGAGACCAATGCTGAACCTGGTGGTAAGTTCGCAATGAATGCTGTCCAGCACGACAATTAATTATTCATACATTAATGGGCGAATTAATGATACGCCACTGTTTCATGACAAAATTGAAGAAACTAAACTAAAACTAGTTTTAGTCAACCCTAATCGACATTTGATTTCGGAAAATCGACTATACATAATATATCATACTTTACGCAAAATTGTAAAATTTCCAGGGATTTTGTGCGTAAACGGCTGGCTTTAGCGAAAATTTTCATAGAACCTTTTTTATAGTAAATTCTATTCTCTTTAATTTTGCTCTCTTCGAATTTTTGCGAAAAACGCATAGTTTTCGAGATATTTACAAAATACCCATTTTGGGCGCCATCTTGGCAAGATGGAATGCCGTTACTAACTATAATCATGAAATTTAAATACAGATGATGATAAGATAAATGCATCTTCAGATTGTCAAAACGCTCTAAAAAATTTGATTCAAAATTGATAATTCAAAGTTGTAAGAAAATTCCAATTTATTTGGAGATAGAAACAAGATATCGTTGATATAAATACCAGGGCATGATGGTCTATAGAAAAATAAACGCGCCAAATCGCTCGCTAAATACATACGTCATTCGTGAAACCAGCAAAACCGCCGGTAAGAGTTTTTAAAAACATAAAGCTAGCTCTGTAATTAGATAATAAAAACGCTCAAAAACTAGAATAACCGCCGAATGGACACACACAAATCAACATTCTAACAGAATTTTTCAAATTAAAAAGCAGTTAACTTTTTAAGAGTCTGTCGATATCGAATGTAAATTTTTAATTTTGATTATCTCTCATTAGACTTCTTCAAAAGGACAATATTGTAGAATGCCATCTAGAGATAAGAAGACGACCACAATAAACCTATAAATATCGCACCATCATGGATTCTAATCTAACTATATCGGTTCTTGCGGTAGCAGTAAAGAGTCTCCATAGTGGAACACACTCAATTAATTTATCAAATTATCCTCAGATTGTTTAGGTGCATGTAGAATATAAAAAGGTACTTACGTCACTTAACCGATCCCGGGAGCTGTCCGCATCCCTTTCGCGAGGTGCTATCGACACCACCGACGACCCGGTAAGTCTTTCGGACGCGCGACCGCTGTCATCACTGGTTGCCGGATCCTGAGTCAATGTCAACCCCTGAAAACAAAGAAAAAATTAATAAAAAAATATCGAGACATATAGCAAACAATAAAATATATAACACAATAAGAATGTATAGTGTCCCATAGGGATATGGCCCGCAATTTAGCGAAGAGATTATTTAGATGACACTTGAATATTTAACACAATAGTATATTGTCATTGGTAGCAAATAATCATAGACAACTTAAAGCAAAGTTACGGTTTTATTTCAGGATTATTTACTTAATAGTTTTAAGAATCCAATTGTTATCTTTTATAAGCACCTGGTACATTTATACAAGTTCAAATAAAATAACATTCTTCAAAAAAAAGCAAAAACAACTTCATTAAAATATGTATCTATACTAAACTTGGCCAAAAATAAATTGGCCATATAATTTTTCTGTTTTTTTTTTCTTCTGAAAATATTAAAAATCAGTCCCAATCCTAGAACGCAATGAGTTCGAAAGCAAGTTGGTGTTTTAAGTTGATTCTCACTATACCTTCCATATCAGCTCTCTTCCGTTTACATAAAATATTATATCATGTAAATGAATAGAACAATGTACAGGGTGAGTCAACGATAGAGTAAAGTCCATTATCTCATTTGTTTCGAGTTTTACAAAAAAAAATTAAATATAAAAGTTGTAGGGAAGGTTAAGATACACATTTTAAAATTATTATAGAGTATACAAGGTGCTTCAAAAAAGTGTGGCGGATATAACATATGTTTTTTTAAATGCAACACCCTATTTTTTATTTTATTTTTAGATTCTGCGTAAAATTCCATAACTTTTTTATATATAATGTTATATGCGTAAAATTAATAGTTTTTGTAATATTTCAATTTGTTTAAACAAATGTTAAATTGCAGTGTGGTAAAAAATTGTCAGTGGTGCCATTGTTTCTGAAGTTGGAGTACCAAAATTTGGTATGAGAGTTCTATAGAGATTAAAAAGAACATATATGTTAATATATTTTAGTTAAATGCTACAGGGTGTTCAAAATATATTTATGAATTTCAACTACTTAAAATTAAAAAATCTCAAATTTTTCAAATGGGACACCCTATATATTATTATTTTTTCTGATAGATTTTACAAAACCCTTCAACTTTTATTAAGTATGTCATATACCTATTTTTAATAATTTACGATTTATTCCAATTTTTTCTGTTTTTATCCATATTTTTAATACAATTGCCCAATAAAATTACCCAACACCCCCCATGGCAACTATGATGTTATAGCGTAGGTAATTGTATTAAAAATATGAGTAAAAATAGAAAAAAATTGGAATAAATCACAAACTATTAAAAATAGGTATATGACATACTTAATAAAAGTTGAAGAGTTTTGTAAAATCTATCAGAAAAAGTGATAATATATAAGGTGTACCATTTAAAAAATGCGAAATTTCTTAATTTTAAGTAGTTGAAATTCATAAATATATTTTGAACACCCTGTAGCATCTAATTAAAATATCTTTACATAGGTCTTTTTCTATATCTCTATAAAATTTTCCTACCAAATTTTAGTTCTCCAACTTCACAAACAATGTCATTACTGACAATTTTTTATCACATTGCAATCTAACATTTGTTTAAACAAATTTAAATATTACAAAAATTATTAATTTTAGGTATATAACATTATATATAAAAAAGTTATGGAATTCTACGCCGAATCTAAAAATAAAATAAAAAATAGGGTGTTCCATTTAAAAAAAATATATGTTATATTCGCCACACTTTTTTGAAGCACCCTGTATACTCTATAATAATTTTAAAATGTGTATCTTAACCGTCTCTACAACTTTTATATTTAATATTTTTTTGTAAACCTCGAAACAAATGAGATAATGGACTTTACTCTATCGTTGACTCACCCTGTACACTATCCGTTCCGTTTCCCTTCCGTTCCATAAACTTTCCTTCCATACATTTTTCTGGCGGACGGACTACAGAGTATCGGAAGCGTTGTCAAGTTCTAACATTTGTACCTGTTAGAATTTTACTGATATTTATTTATTCTTTCACATCTTAATTAAATCTATTACCTTTTTCAAAAGATACAAATTTTTAAAATAAAACTTTCGTAATGATATAAATTGTACAATAAAAAGTATGGAACTGATACAGAACGGAAGCTTACGTATAGCGTCAATACCAATGACTAAAGAATCCAAGGACAAATAACACGCGAGAGCAAATTGTGACGCTGTCACCAAACAGTGCCGTGGCACATATTTTTCTTTACCTAGCTGTTTGAAGCAATATTTATATTTTTTGATAATTGTTTTGACTACGCCTATGGTGTATCATCCTAATTAATTACGAAAAAAATGTATTAAAATGTTAACAAAAGGTACAAAACTAGTATCGACGTATAGCACATATCAAGTACATATAGATGTTAATTGAAATTGAAGAATAATTATCGAATTCAATAAGAAAACGCTAAAAAGTTGGACTGTTTATTTACCTATGAAACGTAACTCCTGACTCTTTCTTATCGCTGCTGCTTTTACACTTGAAAGCTGAACAACTAATCACCATTGTAATAAAGTTTATACAAATTTTACTACATACAAACTATTAAAAATCGCTAAAATTGTCGCTGGTGACCAAATGATGACTCATTGTTTGCCACCAAAACAAAAGAAAAAGGTCACAAATTCTGCTGCAGCCCGTATAGGGGCGTTACATGTCCTTATATTCTTTAGTCATTGGTCAATACAATTAAAATACGGAATGGATATGGAATGGAAACGAAAGGTATAGTGAGAATCAACCTTAAATCTTAAACCCCCACACTGAAAGTGTATGTAACGGTCTATCATAACCCGACGCATTATGAACAAAACTAAATATCGTTACTACAGATCATAACCTAAAGGACTATAGACGCCTATACATTATCTATGTGAAAGGAATAACTCTAGACTTCTTCTTCAAATCAGTTAACTGCAAAACTAAGTTATTTCTGTAACAGAGTAAGAATAATTTATTACCAAATCATTAAGTAGATACCAGAGGCAAAACTTAGCCACAGAATCATTTATTACTGCAAAACCTTCTGGCACAAGTCTACACTTCTTGGATACGAAAATTATTTATATGCTAGATACAAGAGAATAAAACACTAATAATATACACTAGTGCAGAAAGTTGTAGAGATATAGTTAAAATATAAACAGGGTATTTTGTAGTACCCCCTTTGTACGTCGAATTTCTCTGAACCTAGATCTTGAGATATTCTTAAAGTCGCACATTTTTTAGTTGTCTATTTTCGAAAGAAATCAGTACATGTATATTATTTCGTATATTTTTCATTTTATTGATTGTCTGGAAAGCACTGTTCATTAAAATGTTGTATCCTATGTAATAGGGCCTTGTTTTTCTCTACAATTTCCTGTCTCACAATGTACCGTTTGTGTCGGGGAAGGGATCATAGTTTCATAGTTGTCGATTTTCGAAAAAAATCAGTACATGTATATTATTTGGTATATTTTTCATTTTATTGATTTTATGAAAAGCACTGTTCATTAAAATGTTGTATCCTATGTTATAGGGCTTGTTTCTCTCTACAATTTCCTGTCCCACAATATACCGTTTGTGTCCGGGAAGGGTTCATAGTTTCATAGTCGATTTTCGAAAGAAATCAGTACATGTATATTATTTCGCATATTTTTCATTTTATTGATTTTCTGGAAAGCACTGTTCATTAAAATGTTGTATCCTATGTTATAGGGCCTTGTTTTTCTCTACAATTTCCTGTCCCACAATGTACCGTTTGTGTCCGGGAAGAGTTCATAGTTTCATAGTTATCGATTTTCGAAAGAAATCAGTACATGTATATTATTTCGTACATTTTTCATTTTATTGATTTTATGGAAAGCACTGTTCATTAAAATGTTGGATCCTATGTTATAGGGCTTGTTTCTCTCTACAATTTCCTGTCCCACAATGTACCGTTTGTGTCCGGGAAGGGTTCATAGTTTCATAGTTGTCGATTTTCGAAAGAAATCAATACATGTATATTATTTCGTATATTTTTCATTTTATTGATTTTATGGAAAACACTGTTCATTAAAATGTTGTATCCTATGTTATAGGGATGGTTTCTCTCTACAATTTCCTGTCCCACAATGTACCGTTTGTGTCCGGGAAGGGTTCATAGTTTCATAGTTGTCGATTTTCGAAAGAAATCAATACATGTACATATATTATTTCGTATATTTTTCATTTTATTCATTTTATGGAAATCACAGTTCATTAAAATGTTGTATCCTATGATATAGGGCTTGTTGCTCAACTTATATGGCAAAAAATAGGCAGTCGAGTACTTTTTTATAAAAATAAAAACATTTGAGGAAAGTGAAGGTTCCCTGCGACCCTCATTTCCATCAAAATCATCGGGTTTTCCTAAACCTCCTTAAAGAGTATCCAAAAGTATTTAAAACAGTTGTAGATTGTATTGTAGAATGTTTAGGAGGGGGGTTATCACCGCGACCTTACAGATCTATTGCTTGTTCCCATTTCCTAAGTTATAACGAGATGCTCATCATACAGTCTCAGGGCTTTAACAAAAGCCAGTATCTGAGACGGTTCTACAGAGGCCAGCTCTCCATCTTCGACATCAGCCGTACCAAAATTTATGGCACGAACGGTTGTCGTCTCGGCGCACTCAGTAATAGTGTTTTGGTGTTTCCCCACTTTCCCCACAGAATCTACATTCGCCGTTGTTTCTCAGCTTCAATCTACTAAGGTGTTCACATTGAAGAGACAGTGTCCTGTTAAAAATGTCACTTAAATCAACGAAAATCTTTGATTTTTCTCGGTCGTAAGTTCTCAGAAACTTTTTCGAATGTCTTAGACCGTTGGAAGATTTCCATTCATTTAGAACAGTTCTGTTATTCTCGTTATAATGTTGTACAAGTAAAAACAGATAATAACGATAATTAAAAAAATTGCAGATAATTTAGCACACTTAATATCACTTGTATTCCATTAA